ACTTTTGTATAGCTGTCCACCCTATTTTGTATATCTGTCCACCCTCCACCCTCTAAATCAGAAAAGAGCTGTATCTTGTCGGGGAAGGTGTAATTACCTAAGTGTAGTTACGTTACAGGATGAGAGCTACGCTCGTGGTGTCCCGTCTTACCAGTACTCTTTGTCGTATAACACTTTGAAACTACTGATGGTTCTGGCCTCTGCCACCTTCTCATTTAACTTGTTCCAACCATCTACCATTGTTTGCAAAAGAAAACTTTCCAATGTTTTTTCGGCACCTTTGTTTCCTTAGCTTGAATCTGTGTGCTCTTGTTCGTGAAGTTGCTGGTTCCCAGGAATTCCTCTTTGTCAATTTGGTTGATTCCTGTTAGTATTTTGTAAGTGGTGATCATATCACCTTTTTTTCTATCTTCTAGTTTTTGCATGTTTAATGCCTCTAGTCTCTCCTCGTAACTCATGTTTCTCAGTTCTGGAAGCCATTTTGGAGCATACCGTTGCGCCTTTTCCAGTTTCATTTTGTGCTTCTTGAGATTTGGGCACATACAGGGACAGCTTATTATCCAAAACCACCCTAGGTCTCGTTCTTTATTAGAGTTCTGTAATTCCTTTACACATAATTAGTAAGTTGTGTGTGGTCTATTTTCTCCAATTCCACATTCCATAACATGGCATTTATTCCACAGGAGCCAAACCAGGGTTTCACTGTGCATCGTGCATATGGGAATACCCAGCGCATAGGTTCAAATCCTCATCATGGCTTCTGTGGATTTTCTCATTTGCTTTAATGATTTTGTGTGCATTTAAATAATGATCATGAACAAAAAAGTACAAAGCATTAATATGTTCACTTATCTTGCTGGGAGGGCTTCTCTGATGGTTCCCTATTGTTAACCTCTCTGGATAGCTCCTCATCTGTCAAATTGCACAAGGTTCAATTTCCAAGGCCCTTGGAAGACTTTAATAGCACTCACGGGTGCACTGTATAGTTTGCAAGTTGGTCGTAGTTGGCATGTTCTTCAGCTCATTTATCTTCCTCTGGGTAGAGGAAGATAAATGTGATCCAGCTCCACGCCGACTTCTCTCCAGTGGTTCATTGTCTAAAGTGGGGTGGGTCATTTCATTCTCTTAAACTGTGATGTAGCTCATTTCATCTTCTGTATTTTTAGTGTTTGGATCTCTGCACAGTTTATGTGCATGGCATTTTGAGTATGTTCACAGAGTCTCTCTCTGATTTTTGTCCCATTTCTATGGAGTGTATGGTCGATGACGTGTCACCTACCTGTTGAAGCCACAACATTTCTGTACTTTAATTTAAAATATAGCTGAAAAATATTCTCTGAAATAACTGGGGGAACTTTCTCAATAAAACAAAGTTTGACCAGTAAAGGAAATTTTGCAACAGTCAGGAAAATGATAGGGTGAGAAAATGAGAACCTTCAAAACAAGGGATGCCACACCAACAGAGCAGCAGTTTGAAAATGATATCACAGCAAATACAAAGAGTCAACCTAAGCTATTACATAGTCATTTAGAAAAGAAAACAACGGCATGAAACAATGTGATCACATTCGGGGATGGAGGAACACTCTTTGAGAATGACAAAAATGTGTGGAGAACTCGACAAGAAATTCCAGGAGTACAGGTTCCAGATTAGAGTCCAAGGAGAGGTGACAGCAGATGTCCAGAAACAAAACTAGACAGAATTGAAGTAATGTAGAAAAGGTAAAAAAAAGATAACTGGAGGAACTGGATGTAGCAAAAATAGTAGGACCAGACTAGATATACCCCATGGAATCTTCTACCTGCTGGAGCATAAATGCTAAAAGATGTTGATTTTCAAAATCCAACTGGGAAAGATCATCATCATGGCAAATGGGGGGACTTTCGACAAGCCGCCAGCTTCCTGTCCTCATCGCGGCCACCAGTAACAGTGGCCCTCAGGTAAATTCAGATTTCAGGAAGCTTACTGAAGAAAGCTGCAGAGATTTTAGGTTACCCATTAACTATAGTGTTCATCATTATAATAGAGACAAGAGATATACTGGAAATATGAAAAAAAGCAGTGGTATCAGTATTCAAGAAAAAGGGATAGACATGTAGTATTGAACTTAAGGCCAGTATCACTGACATGCATTCCATCAAGCTGCTGGAAAAAGTCATCAGAAAAAGTATGATAGAACATTTGGGGAGAGTAAACTTTAGAGGAACACCACACAGTAGTGGGGCCTCGTAGTCTGGTGGATAGCGCGCAGGACTCGTAATTCTGTGGCGCGGGTTCGATTCCCGCATGAGGCAGAAACAAATGGGCAAAGTTTCTTTCACCCTAAGTGCCCCTGTTACCTAGCAGTAAATAGGTACCTGGGAGTTAGTCAGCTGTAACGGGCTGCTTCCTGGGGTGTGTGTGTGTGGTGTGGGAAAAAAAAAAAAAAAAAATTGTTAGTAAACAGTTGATTGACAGTTGAGAGGCGGGCCGAAAGAGCAAAGCTCAACCCCCGCAAAACACAACTAGTAAACAACTAGTAAACACACCTTCAGAGAGGAAAAATCATGCTAAACAAACTTGATTGAATTCTATGATACAGTAATCAAAATAATACAAGAGAAGGAAGGACGATGGATAGACTGCATCTTCCTAGACAAGCAAAAAGCTTTTGATGCAGTTTCATACAAAAGTCTACTATACAAGATGCAGGAGAAAAGCTAGGATAACAGGAGAGGCATGGGACTGGGTATGGTAGTACCTGAGGCCAGGAAACAAAGAAATCTGGTGTCTGTCAACACAGATTTGTCCTTGTTTGCAGTGTGGTTGATGCCCACAGGCCTAACAACAATGAAAACCAGGCATGACAGGGCTGATCCCATTGATACTTTTAAAATACTGAACAGGTTGGAGGAGGTTGATCCAGACAACTTCTTCAAAAGGTCAGATGTAACACAAACAAGGAGTAATGGTTTCAAGCTCAACAAACCTCAATGAAGGACTGAAAACAGGAAATGCTTTTTCACCAACAGGGGTTATAAACCCATGGAACTGCCTACCTGCTGAAGCGGCAAATGCTAACACTCCACATGGTATTAAAATCCATGTGGAGATGATCATAAAGGCAAATGAGGGGACCTTCGACAAGCTTCCGGCATTCTGTCCTCATCAAGGCCACTAACACTAGTGGCCTTGATGAGGTAAAAAAAGGTAAAAAAAAATTCAGGTAAATCAGATGCCAGATCATGACCTTGTTCACGATCTTTGTAAGAGCAAAGCTAGAATATGCAGCAGTTGTATGGTGCCCATATTTTAAGAAACACATCAACAAACTGGAAAAGGTGCTGAGATATACAACTAATTGGCTTCCAGAATTGAAAGACAAGAGCTATGCTGAGAGGTTAGAGACATTAAATATGCCAAAGCTAGAACATAGAAGAAAAAAAACAGGCAATATGATCACTTTATACAAAATAGTAATGAGAATCAACAAAATTGATAAGGAAGAATTCCTGAGACCTGGAACTTCAAGAACAAAAGGTTATAGCTTTAAGCTAACTAAACAAAGATGCCGAAGAATCATTAGAATATTCACTTTCACAGTGTGGTAGATGGCTGGAACAAGTTTAGTGTGAAGGTGAAGGAGGTGAAAACCATTAGTGGGTTTTAGAGAGTTAAATGACAAAGAGTGCTGGGAAGATAGGACACCACGAGTGTAGTTCTCATACTGTAAGTACACTGTACACTTAGGCACTTACATTTGGGTAATTACAAAGAAATCATAGAGTAAGGAACCATGAGAAGGATTTGAATCCAACTCATGGCACCTACAGTACTGATTTTTTCATTGATACATCATTGAGCATTTGAAGTGGTGGAGGGGGTAGAACTCCTATACCACAGCCAAAGTGTATGCAGATTATGCACAAAATCCTGACTTGATTTCAATTGAAGCCTCAGAACCCTTAGGGGATTCAGTTGAATCCCAGGTTGGGCATTTCCTTGTGGTTTAGGGCATGTGCTTGGGAGTACCCATTGTGCAGGTTCAAATACTTCTCAAGGCTCTTACTGATTTTCTCTGATTTTCAAGACCATTAGTTGAGTATGCAGCACCAGCATTAAACCCACATCTTGTAAATCACAAAAAAGAAACTTGAGGAAGTTAAGAGGTTTGCAACTAGATTAATACCGGAATTGAGAGGCCTGAGCTGTGAGGACCAGTTGCCAGAACTCGCCCTCACAACCTTAGAGGAGAAAAGAAACAGAGGGGACAAAGGAAGTCTTATCTAAATTAAAAAGAGGTAGGACAAGGGGACATCAAATGAAGCTGGACACACACGTTGAGTCAGAGAGATGTAAGGAAGTTCTCGTTCCCTGTCCTGATGGTTGGCAAGTGCAATACATTGAAGGAAGAGGCTGTTGAAGCAAATTAAATGCACAACATCAAGAAAAAAATATGACAGAAATGTTATTATGAGAGGTAATTAATGCATCAGGTATAAGTGGCTAAGAAGTGGTACATAAAGAGCTAGATCTTGCTTCCTTATAATTGCAACCAGTGATGGTACTTGCCAAAGCACTGGTGCTATGATGACATGCAATATGACATATTGTTCAGCTTTCACATCACTTTTCAAGGCAGGTGAGATTGTTGAGAAATGTATTAAAAAATAGGATTTAAGTATTTAAGTGGTGCAGATGTTTTTTAAAAATGCATGAGCCATCATATTGTACATTACAAATACTGTAATGAGGATTTAAATTTTAACATCAAATTTTTAATGTATTCTAGAAAAAAATTATTTAGCTCTCCATATGTCTTTTTTTTTTAATAGTACTGTGTTACTAACCCTAAGTATTTTCTAAATGTCATTTATCATTGTAGATATAAAATACTTTTAATTGCTAAGTAATATAAATGTTATTTTAAAAACATAAAAAAAATCTTTAATGAGGTTTTTAATTAAAATTTTTCATAATTGTTAATAATTTAACATTTATGGTGTTTTTGTTGACTCAGGTGAATATGCAGGAACTCAGGGACTTGGCCTCCTAAGACTACACTCGACTTACCGCCATGACCTGAAAATATATGCCAGTGACGAGGGTCGAGTTCAGATGACTGCTGCTGCATTTGCCAAGGGACTTTTGGCTTTGGAAGGTGAACTTACTCCAATTCTAGTACAAATGGTTAAAAGTGCTAACACAAATGGGTTGCTGGATAATGATTGTGACTCCTACAAACATCAAAACATGTAAGTTCATTAAGATATTGTACTGTATTCTACATATTAGTTATAATATTATTGTAGAGTCTGTCCTGTGCAAAAGTGCTAGTTTTTATTTAAAATTATCTCAACTATTTTTTATTTATTTTTTTACATAAAATATGAAATGCCCTTTTTGAGCAATCTCTCAGTTGCTCCTTTGACCCAAAAGTGGTAAGACTAGGACCAGCGGGAGGGACATGAAAGCCAGACATCGAATTGGCCCAACAAGAACAGAGTCCCCAGATCAGGAGAGTAAGGAACCCACTTTAAGATCCATGACCAAACACACATTAAAACTGACCAAGATAATAAACTCTCACCACCAAGAGGGAATGAAGGGGGCAGCACAAAACCTTGACCTGTCATGATACCATTTAAAAAATATAAATATTTGGAAGGCAACTGGGCACATCAAAAGAGACTTATCAAGAGAGTCGGCCGAGAAATGATGTTGAATGCAATCAAACTAGCACTGACTGTAATAAAAGGCCTCTTCTGGTTGAGCCCCAGTTGCTTCCTGAAACTATCTCGCAGAGATGGCTCCCCACCACTGGATCACATCAGTCACAGGATTTCTGTTTGGCCTACCAGGGCCCAGAGCCAGAACTATATGTAGATTTGTTCATTTATATGCAGATGCCGTCTGTCTCCTCTCTACCTTTCTCATTCTCATTACCTTACACTTGTTGGGGATGAAATCCAGCAGCAATTTGTCTGACAATTCATGGAATGTGTCAAGTTCCTCCTGTAACTTATTGCAGTCCTCATCTGTTTTCACATTCCTCATCAGCTTAGCATCATCATCAGCAAACATTGACATGTCTCCTTATCATTCTCTGTGAGAATGATAAGAGGGTAAGGCTCCCCATTCTCACATTCTCTGTGAGAATGATAATGAGAATCTCCTTATCATTCTCTGTGAGAGCTTCCTCCTTGTTTCCTCACTCTGAATACATGGTCTCTCTCTCTTGGTTATTTTTCTCCTTATATGACTATAAAACAGCTTTGGTTGTTTCTTAGCTCTCCCTCCAGGTCATCAGAGGTTTACCTGAATTTACCTGTGGGCCAATAACACTTTAGTGGCCTCGACAAGGATAGGAAGCTGGCAGCTAGTCAAAGGTTCCCCTATTTGCCCTGATGATCGCTCATTGGTTCAGGTTGATTGCATCTAGCTTCGAACCGAGTATGGAGGCTCTAGCTAACTGAGTTTCCTCCACCTTCCCCCGTTCCTACCCAGTAATAGATAGTAGTGGCATCAGAGGGCCACTGGGGCTCACCCAGAAAGAGGTATTCCATTATATTAATCACTGTGTTTGTTTATACAAAACAGTATAAAGATTACTAGATTATTGCATTTTTTTTATTTTTAATTAATTAATTTGCTTTGGGAAGTTATTAGAACATAGCCATTAAATCTTTGTGTTAATTGAAGTTAATATGTTAATGCTGTCTCTGTTCAGGGTGAAAAACCGTCTTCACGAAGCAATGCAACAAGACCGCATACTAACAAAAGAAGACATGGAAAATTTAAACCCAACAAATTCAAGATCAATATTAACAGCTCTTGAATTTGTTCAAAACCCAGTAAAAATGTGTGAACATGTTAATGGTCTGATTAAGAAGCTGAATGAACGAATAAAAATCAGGAAAGAGGACCAGAAAACTAAAGGTAAATTTTCTTATCGAACTTCTTAAATTTGAAACTTTTCAATTTATGAATTATTGAGTGTATAGTACAATGTTGTGTAGAGGTGACAATCTGTGTTTGCAGAAGTGATGCACTATGGCTGTTAGGCATATTGTTGTTATTAGCCTTTTTGTTATTTATTCTCTAAAGTTGTCACCATATTACATTGCAGACTTCGTACTATCTGCAGGAAATCAGATAGCAGGAACCTTTGCAGAAAAGCCACCTTTTAAATTTCTCGTCCATTCAACCAACAGCTCTGTAGTATGATCAGTGGGAGAACGACATTCTCTAAAAAGATGTAAGCAAGTATTTAATATTGTTAAACAATATTAATCAAAGCATTCTGTAACTGGGAGAGCATGTTGAAAATATAAGTGTTAAATGTGGAAATAAGAAATGAGAAAGAAACTGGCAGGAGATTTGAAAGATGACTTTCCTGCAAAGGTTCTTTTCTTACACTGTAGTTCAACCTTACCTCATGTTTACCTTGTGTTGGTTCTGAGAATTAATGTCTCCACAGCCCGGTCTCTAACGAGGCCTACTGGTTGGTGATATGGTTAACCACACTGTTAAACACAACTGCTCGCAGTCTGGAGTATGACTTATTGCCCAGTTGATCAAGTAACCTTTAGAAGTGTTTATCAAATTCTCTTTTGAACACCATGAGGGATCAGCTACTTATGCTCTTTATGTTTAGAAGGAAAGTGTTAAAAAGTCATAGGCTCTTAATGTTGACAGAACTGTCTCTTAGCGTGACTAATGCATCTCTGATTTTTGGCTGGGCTATTTTGCAGTTTCTGCCATGCCTCCTACTGGTCTCTTCAAGAGTTATTTCCATGTGCAGAGATGGAATCAGTCCCTCTAATATTTTCAAGTGTAAATTATAATGTATCTTTCTCACCTGCACTCTAGAGAATACAGATTTAACAATTGTAAGTGGTCCCAGTAATTTAGATGTTTTATTGAGTGCATTCTAGTAGTAAATGATCTTGCATGTTCTCCACATAGGAATTTCTCTAGCTTTCAATCAGACTGTTATTATGCAGCAATATTCCACCCTGAAGAGCACTAATGTCTTAAAAGGTATCACCATTGGTTTGGCCCCTGTCCCCCGACACACTGAATTAATATCAAGTTTTGTGTGTGTATATATAAGCTGTTGTACTCAAAAATATTAATCCAAGTGCCATTTAGGAATCTTAATATTATGCAAAAGTCTTTCATTAAAAATGCATACAACTATAGTAGTGTATATAAAAACCCTGGTGAGATTTGTAATATATTCTGTAGGACGAACTTGTAAATACCCAGACCAGTGAAAAAAGAACATAAATACTGTATTGCATAAGGACAGGTCAGAATTCTAATTTATTGTGAATTAGTAGAAAAATTTGCCTATGTAATTCAGTACAAAACAATAATTTAACACCTTTTTCCAGAATTGCCTTTGTACCATGGTGAATCTTGGGAACTAATGCAGCGACGGTGGGCAAAATTGGAAAAAGACTTCAGAACAAAAAACACAAAATTTGATATCTCCAAAATTCCTGACATATATGACTGCATCAAGTATGATTTGCAACATAACAACCACACACTGCAGTTTGAGTATGCAGAAGAACTATATAAATGTGCCAAATACTTGGCAGATATTGTAATACCTCAGGTAAAACTGTTGGCTAGTGTTGTTATTTATGTTATTATGTAAACTGTTCCTTTCATTCTACTGCAAATGTTAAAGGGCATTTACTATTTTCAGAATGAGAAACATTATATTAGAGAAGGATAAATTTATCGATGAATTTGGATTAATAAAAACAATTTTAATGATAATATTTTACTTGAAAGGAATATGGGATGACACCACAAGAGAAGATGGCTATTGGCCAAGGAATCTGTACACCACTATTGAAGAAGATCCGTGCTGACCTTCAACGAAATATTGGAGAAGAAAGTGAGGAGAATGCTGGAGAGAGTATTAATAGATTAAATCCAATGTGAGTAAATCCAATGTGAGATTAAATCTAATGTTAATTATAGATTGTGAAATGTTTTATATTTTATTCCCAAAAGATAATATGTGTAATTAGTAGAGATGATGCAATTTCAAGTCTTTGGATATCATTAAGCAGTGGGATCGAACCAAATTCAGTGCTGGCCTTGATAAAATACTATCACATTTCACAAATCAGGATGCTTTAAACAAAATAATTTATGGGGACTTTTGAAAGCTTATTACAGCTACTACCAATGACTCTCTGGAATTAGTCGTTCACCACTGTCAAATGCAAGCTGAACACACTGTGCTTTCTGAGCATAAAGTATGATTCATCTAGGGGATGATCAATACATTAATATAAGTGAATAAAAGTTTCTCACACATTGCTGTTAAAGTAGAAATGTTAAATGATGCTTAATATCTATGATTATATTCAGCATTGCAGAGTTCAGATCAGTGTTAAGCCTCAGAGTCAGACTAAATCTGTGCAAACACACCATGCAAATAAAATGAACCAGTCTATGAAACTCGCTCCCTAATGAATTAAAAAATTGTCCAATCTATGCCTTATTCAAAAGTAAAATCAAAACGTACCTAATTTCATCCTCATAGCTTCCTACCTTGTACTTCAAACTCACAATATATCTTGTGCTTCCCTCTTCCCCAATATTAGCACTTAAGACCTGCAACTTCAGTGTAATCACTAACATCAATTTATATTGTAGTTATTATGTTGAACTTAAGTTTTGCTACTATGTACCTCGTAATAAACTTAAGTTAGATTAAGGACCTGCCTGAAATGCTATGCATGTTAGTGGCTCTGCAAGAATATAAGAACACCAATGTAATGTACTCTCACAAACCCAGTTTACTGTACGTTCCTGTATAATATAAATATATATAAATACATTTCCATTTAAGCAGTAATATACTGTATACAGTGATTCTCTTATTTCACAAACCATTTCTACTTTTACTATTTTAATAATTATTTAAATTATTCCATTCTAATTGCTGTAACAGGTGTACTTAGTATTTACAAGGGTTGATTGGTCAATTTTTGCAAACTTTAGGCCTTTCCTCATTGTATATTCAAGTAAGATACCCGTCATATACCTGTCAATGCATCCGAGAATCAAAATCCCCATGGCCCAATCTCTGACCAGGTCTCCTGGTTGGTGGTTTGATCAACCAGGCTGCTCGCAGCCTGACATATGAGTCACAGCCTGGTTGATCAGAACAGTCCGCATGATCCCTTTGTTATACAGTATTATTGGTAGGGTCACTACTGCTTCTAAATAAATTTTGTTAATTGCAAGAAATTCTATGGTACCATTTCAGTTTGAAATGACAAAATAAAGTGATGCCTGGCAAGCTGATCAGTTTACATGAGTAGGAATATATGCTATATTGCCTTCAAAATAACAACAGGGATACTTGTTGAACGCGCGCGCACTAGAAATTGAAGAGACGACGACGTGTCGGTCCATCCTGGACTATTATCAAGTCGATTGTGATAATGGTCCAGAACAATTTGATAATATTATTTGATGATTGTTATTTGATAAATAACAATCTACTTGATAATGGTCCAGGATAAGACCGAAATGTTGTTGTCTCTTCAATTTCTAGGTTTGGTCAACATTTTTGAGCCACGTTATTGTGACTCATCATCTGCAACAGGAATACTTCATTAGAAATACCTATGCTGGATTTTTCTCTAAATAATCTATCAAACTTTCTAGGCATTTTGTTCATCCTAGTTTAAGTTGTGAGTGCCCATTTATATATAAATGTTGAATATGTCAATTGTTTGTGGGCAATTTCATCATCATTTGAAAATGACAATGAAAATAACATAACTCTATTCATTAATTTTGAATTACAGATATTCTCATGGGGTAAGCAGTCCTAGCCGGCACGTGCGCACAAGACTGTACTTTACTAGTGAAAGCCACATACACTCGCTTCTTACTGTCCTGCGTTTTGGTGGACTTATAGATGTGAGTTGTAGCTTAGAGATTTGTCTGAGCAGAATTGTACTTTAAAGCTTTATAACCCACTCTTAATATAATTTGGGAGCAAAGGTAAGGTCCACTGCCAGTATGACCAGTATCATACACCGTCAGGTAGGGTGACGGGGCACTTTCTAACATCCTTTTAAGGTCATTAAAAATTTCTGTTTGCAACTGGAGATAAACTTAATCCAGCCCAGAATGATCAACAGATACATTTATAAAGGCTCAAAGTTCTCAGTAGAGACTATCCACTAGTGTTTTTTGATGCCTCATTGCTCTGTCTGTGGTAGTTTTCCTTTTCAATTTTCCCCCCCACCCCAAGGCCTTTTTTCCTTCTGCTATGCTGGTCTGCATGTTGGGTCAGCTCTATCATCCAGGGGTGTTTTTCAGAGTTTGCCCTGTAGAATATTGGCATCCTCTTTGCTTTGTTCCATGCTTTTCCATGCCTTTTCCTTCTTAGCCCACTATATTTTCTCCTGGGAATGATTTTTAAACTTCGTTGCATATACGTACTGTACTGAATATATATGTATATATACATTGTTCATTGTTCACACACTTAATCCCAACTTCCTCACTCACTTACTGTGCTTGGTCGTCTTCTTTCCAGCCTTCCTCTACTCCTATCAAATTCACTCAAGTACATCCTGGAACTTCATCAATCTCCCATCATCCATTTTTAACTATGATTCGTTCAAAATGACTGAAGCATCTCTGTATGCTCTCTTTATATATATATGCCATATATCTGGTTTTGCACTCCATATATCCATAATATTTTAATTCCTTACTCAGCTCTTATAACACCACACATTCTCCTCAGATTGTCTTTCTACTGCTTTTGTTCCTTTTTAACACTTTCGCGCTCTCGGCGAAGGTCACTCAGCCAACCGTATGTGCGCGCGGCGTTTTTATCGCTTAAGCGTAAAAACAAAAATGTGTATACTCTTTTTACTTTTCTGACCTTAGTTTTCATGCTACGTATTTCATTTTGATACCAACGTGTTCGCAATAAAATTCTCTAGAAGAACATCAGTAAAAAAAGTCACGAAAGCTATAGAGATACCAGCATGAAATAAATAACTACGAAGATGAGTCGCCGTGAGCGCTCAACAGCAACAAAATGTTTTTACTCTTGGGATTATTATCACCTCTACAATTGTCCTACAGCCTTAATTTTGGTATCAATGGACTCCCAATAAAATTCCCAACACGGTGATATGAATATAATCGTAGAATAATGGTCCCGGCCCACCCGCAAGAGTGTGGGAAGTGGGCACACTGTTACCCGGTAATGGTGACCGGACGACACACGCGCGAAACGTTGCTTTGAAAGTTTATACTTATTTCACTGTTCTGATATTATTATTGTATGTATGTCATTCATTTTTGTGGCAATGTTTTCGCAATAGAATGTTCTATGAGCTAAATTATACTACACAAACTTGGACCAAATAGGTGTACTTACCAAGGGAAGGCTGGTTGTGGAACAGTAAGTTGAGCATTTGTTCTTCACTCCACCTTCTTCAGGTTCTTCATTCCTGAAGTTGCTCAACAGATGGTTTGTAGGTGGAGTGAAGCTGTTGCGGGTGGTTACTTCTTCACCACCCAATACACCTTTTTCCGGTGGTAATTGGTGTAGCAGGGAACAACACAGAGTGCAACACCACAGGTCTTGCATCCATAGTTCGTGTCCTTCCTTTTACCAGACCGTGCGCATGCATGACACTTGAGACGTTTTGGCAGTCTGTAAATTTCATGTTTCAGTTTGTAGTTCATGCGATTTTCTGAATCAACAATAGGGCCAGGTCTTCTCGCTGGAGGTGTAACAGGAGTTGCAGGAGAGTCAGATTCATCTGACAAAACAGTTTCGTCAACTGGCAGTGTGGCAGACATGTCGGGTTCAGATTCGTTGTCTGTTTCATCTTGAGGTGGTGTAGTGAACAAAGGCCGCCTCACACCAGATGGTCCGGGAGTTGGCATGGCGTCAGCATTGGCAGGAGCTGTGTCATCATTTATGTCTGGAGCGTGCCGCAAGTGTTGAGATGATGATGTTGTTTTAGGCCACTCCTCTGTGTCCCAGTGCAATAGGGCCCAGATTGCCACTTCGTGGAACTGTAGCAATGTTAGCTTTTTTCGATCAGTTGTGTTGTATTTGTACAAAACACAGGCATTATGCAATGCCATTTGCAGGAAATAAAAGGTAATCTTTTTGGTCCACTTGTGAGTTTTCCTGGTAAAATGGTAATATTTAACCATTTGATCGAAGTGGTCCACACCTTTCATGAACTTATTGTACTCGCAAATTGCAGTCGGTTTGTTCACTGTTACCTGTTGTATTCCACTTGTTCCGTCTCGGTTGCGAATTCGCTTCCTTCGCTGAACTCGCTGAGTGTCTGCATTGTGGATGTTGGTAATGATTGAAACCACTCGCTTGTCTTTCCACAGGAGAATGAAGGTGTTATCTTTGCGGCGGTATACTGTGGTATCCAGTGGAAGTTTACCCTTGGCTAGAGCTTGCAATACCTTTGGGGCACCACGTAGCATTCTAATTGTGCCACATGTGTACACCCCACGTTCTCTCAATGTTTCTGTCAGGGTAACCGAGTTGTAGTAATTATCCATGTACAAATGGTAACCCTGGTTCACTAAAGGCTGCATCAACCCCGTTACTGTATCCACTATCGTCTTACCAATACCTGAGTATACGTCAAAGTCATATATGTACCCAGAGACAGATTCAGCAAGCATATAAAGTTTCACACCATACTTGTCTGGTTTGTTTGGATTGTACACTTTGAAGGATAGTCGGCCTCGCCATGCCATTGTACCCTCATCCAAACACAACTCTTTCTTGGGGATGTAAACTTGAGCAAACCGGTCTTTCAAGTAATCCATCACTGGTCTCACTTTTATCAACTTATCACGATTGTTCACGGGCACTGCATTGGTATTGAATGTGTGGAAAAACTGGTTTATATGCTGGAATCGTCTGGACGGCATGAACAAGCTGAAGAAACGAGCATGCCATGGCTTTGCTGTTTGCCAATACATCCTCATAGCTGGGAGCCTAATTATGCCCATCAATATGAACAGTCCTAGGAATCGCGCCATTTCACTCACCTTCACTGGGGTCCAAATATCTGATACATTTTCATTGGCCATCCGGAATAACTGCGAGGCGTACAAATTTGTTTCAACGGTAAAGAACTCAAGGAGGGCACGCGTGATGAACAATTGAATATAAGCCAGTGCACTAGTAGGCTTGGGAATTTTCAGTCCAGGATCTCCAGTAAAATCATCAACAACTGGAGAAGTATTGCTACGACTCCAGCCCTCACCAGCCCCAGCCTGCCGAGTACGTACTGTACGTGTACGCCTTTCAGCAGGCTCGAATGAATCCTCATCACTTTCCTCATCACTTATACTTTCAGAATCACTTGGCGCAATTTGTCGTGTGTTCCTACGACGAGTAACATGTCTGGTAGCTACTTTTCTAGGTAGCCTAGATGCACCACGTGTGCGCCGAGATGGAGGAGGAGGAGGGGGTCGCGGTGCCTCCTCTTCCTCGGTGAGGGCCTCAGTCTCCTCATCACTCGTTGCCGTATCATTCCCTCTAGCTCTAGGTACACTATAATCGTTGTGGGTTCCAAAATCTTCCTCCAATACCTCTACATCACTTTCAGCTTCTGATAAATCCTCCACAAGGCCTGGAATTTTCGTTGGTGTGAGCTTCACTCCGCTCCACTTCTTAAAAATTTGGGTTATTTTGTCCACTCTCGATGACCTGGAGGCTTCCTTGGGCGTAGAAGTGCTTGGGCCTTGACCTGGATCCATTTTTGATGAAGTAATTGGGTATAATCCACACGGAAACGGGTAAAAATGCTCGAGTTTGGCGCGCGAGGGGAGCGTGATCGACTCACGACACGTGACACGAAAACAATAGGCCCGTCACGTGACCGGGTAGGCCAACGCGCCAGGCGGCCTAGTGGTGAGAAAGAGAACTTCATGGCGCGTCGTTTGAAACAAACCCCAATGAAATCGGATTAAAATTGAATTTTATACAAATATTTTAAAAGAGGACATAACTTTATGTCCACTATGCGTTTACGTTAGACGAAACAGGACGCGCCGGCGCGTCCAGATAGCACGAAAGTGTTAAGTTGATATCACTTATCTTTTGCACTCCATATATCCATAATATTTTAATTCCTTACTCAGCTCTTATAACACCACACATTCTCCTCAGATTGTCTTTCTACTGCTTTTGTTCCTTTTTAAGTTGATATCACTTATCTCTATACATAACAGTTGGCATTAGCACTCCTTCATGCAACTATCTGGCTGCATATATATCTATCTTATTTTTTCTAATCAACAATTTCATTACACTGGGGAGGGGGGTGACAAGGAGACTGCTGACATGGAAAAAAATCATCTTACTGACAAAGATAAAAGCAGTAATCATAGGCTATGTATCGGACTGGAAGAGTGTTACTAGCGGAGTACCACAGGGTTCAATTCTTGCACCAGTAATGTTCTTTGTCTACATAAATGATCTACCAGAGGGAGTACAGAATTATACGAACATGTTTGCTGGTGATGCCAAGATACTAGGGAAGGTAGGAGACGTAGACTATTGTCATGCCCTTGACCTAGATAAAATAAGTGCTTGAAGCACTATGTGGCAAATGGAATTTAATGTAAATAAATGCTATGTTATGGGAGTAGAATAGGTGAAAATAGCTCACATACAGCTTATAAATTATGTGGAAAGGAATTAAAGAACTCTAACAAAAAGAGATCTAGGCAGGGGTTTCTGGATAGTAGAATGTCACCAGAGGAACACACAAACAACACTGGGTGAGGAGCATATACTGAGCTTTCCAACTTCAGAATCACTTTGAATTACATAAATGATAAAATACTAAAGAAACTGTTCATGACATTTATGAGACCAAAATTGGAATCTGCAGCAGTTGTATGGTGCCCATATCTCAAGAAGCACATCAGTAAACTGGAAAAGGTGAAAAGGCACGCTACAAGATGGCTTCCAGAACTGAAGAACAAGAGTTATGAAGAGAGGCTATAGGTGTTAAATATGCCAAAGCTTACTTTTGATAGAGAAAAAAAAAGAGGCGATATTATCACCACTTACAAAATAATACCGAGAATTGACCAAATTGATAATGAGGAATTCCTGAAACTGGCAACTTCAAGAACAATAAGTCATAGATGCAAGTTAAGAAAACAAAGGTACCAAAAAGGTTTCCTTATCAAACAGTGGTAGACGGTTGGAACAAGTTAAGTGAGAAGGTGGTGGAGGGCAAAACCATCAGTAGTTTCAAAGTGTTATATGACAAAGAGTGCTGGGAAGATTGGACACCACGAGCATAGCTCTCATTCTGTAACTACACTTAGCTAATTGCACACTCTTGTGTTTATCTTTTTTTTTTCAGAATCCAAAAGACGAACAATGGAATAGAGCTATGGACTACATTGGTGCTGTATCTGAGCTAAATTATCTTAGCCAGATTGTGGTAATGCTGTACGAAGACCCTACAAAGGATCCATCATCAGATAACAGGTAAATCACATAAATTTTCACTTGAATCAGACTGGTTGACTCAGTTTAGAGACCTCGGACTGCATATTTCTTCTGTGTGGCTGAATAGGATAACATTGGACACATTAGTTCTATTTGGCCTACCGGAGACCATAGCCAGAACCGGGCCTCCGCACAGAGGTACTGTGAGCAAGTGACATTTGCTACTTCACCAGGAACAGGCATCTAGGAAGTCAGGAATGTTTTACAGACAATTGGAGGGTCAACAGAAAATGAGGCCTCAAAACTAACAAACAACTCCACAAACGATTCATACAAAACATGGGATTCACTCAAACTTGCTCGGAACTTGTAAATACCAATTACCACCACCAGGTGTCTCAACCTCTGCCTGCAGCCGGCTTCATTGACCAGCCAATTCTGTTGCAGATATTTTGGTGAATTTTTTTATAAGTAGTGTTCCGTTTCACCAGTAGTGGTCAGGCCCCACAGCTTCACGCAAAGTGCTGGCCATCTTTGGACTTTGTCCTTCAGGGGTCATCTTGTTGTGTTGACTTTCTTCTACCTTATTATTTTGTTCCTAGGTGATTTCTCTCTGGCTTGTTGAATGGGCTTGGCTTTGGGTGTGCTGTGGACTGCATGTGGTCTAGGCTGATTTCCATGGTTGGCCACTAGCATTGCCCTTGCAGTCAGTGGTATCTTTTCTGGTGTGTTCAGGAGTTCACCCGAGAGGCCAGGTCACTGGGGTGGAGAGCCTTGCCTTGGGCTATTCATAAATCTTTGAATCCTCTATCAGGGCCCTTGGCTGGGAGAAAGTCTTTTGATTATGCTGGGGACCAGAGCCAGAACCTAGTCCCTTCATGAAAGACACAGGGAGCAGGTGATAATCAACCAACTCGCCAGTAAATGCCTCCAGAAAGTCGGTGCAACTTTACAGACATCTGTAGGGTGAACAGAAAATGAAGACTTGAAAACTTCCAAACAACTCTGCAAATGAGTCACACAAAAGAAGGGGATTCACTGAAATGAGCTCAAAACTCGTTAGTACTGATTACTACCACCAGTTTTCCTGGCCCCATCTCCCAGTTGGTTTTCCCAAGTTATTTCTGTTCCTGATGCCAGAGTTTTCACACCTTCCAATAGTGCATTCGGTCATGCCAGCTTTTGGACAAACCCCAAAGCTTCAAGCTAAGTGCCAGCCATCATTGGACTTGGTTATCCTGTGGGGACCATTGGCTTCAGTGTATTGGTTAATCTGGGACCATTGGCTTCAGTGTATTGGTTAATCTTTTAATAAAGGCTTCACATGCATGTTTTGGTTCTGGTTTGTTGTGTGGGCTGGATTCATTAGGCATTTCATGCTGTATGTATTCAAGGTTCTCTTCGCTGTGTACCTGCCAACACTGCCCTTGCACAGCTAGAGTTAGCCTTCTCTGGTGTGTTTGGTAGTTTGCCCCTGTGAGGCTGTCTTCCAGGGTGGGGGGCCCCCTTTGCCTTGGGCTATTCAGGTATATTGGATTCCTCAGTTTGGGCTCTTAGTTGAGGGTGTTCCTTAATTGTGTTGGGGTGCACTGTGGTTTGCGCACTTGTTTACATGACATGCTATGGTTGCCTCCTGTATTCTGGAGGTTTGGGCTGCAGTTGTTATATACCTTCAGGCCCTAGAAATCTCTAGGTCTCCACAAATCCACGAACTCCCCTTACTGCTCCATACAATTATTTATTTATCTATGATCCATATGTTTATCACTTATTGCTCCATATGATTTCCTTATTAATTTCACTGCTTTCTTTATTCCATAAATTTCCCTTATTGTTTAAGATTCCTGTTGCTGCACTTACTACTGTTAAACCTATGTTCTACTTAATTAATTAAATTAAGTGTAACACTTTCATGCCTAGGTCTGTTTTTGGGGTTTAGGATTCATTCATGTGTGTGCATGCCTTCTTAATATGCATATATATAGTACATATGTATGCATTATATATTTCAGATTTCATGTAGAACTTCACTTTAGTCCGGGTGTCAACTGTTGTGTACATAAGAACTTACCACCTGGGCCAGGATTTAGACCAAAGAGCCGAAATGAACCTGTGAGTACCATGTGGGGTTCCTATCTCTTAGTTTTACAAATTACAGAATTCTATCTTAATCCTCCCCTATCTCTAACTCATTTATAATCTTTATCTTGTTTTAAATAGTAATTCTTCTATTCTGTTTTAAAGTAAGATGTGCATGAATTATTGCACATCTAACTTGTTTGTAGATGTATAATTACTGTACTATTACCTAAGTGTAGCTACTGGATGATAGCTAAGCTTGTGGTGTCCTGTTTTCTCCAATAGTATTTGTCATATGATGTTTTTGAAACTTCCAACGATGCTGAGTACATATAAACATAAAAATACAGAATTAGTGCCTTAAATTATACAGTTGTATAGTGCCCATATCTCAAGAAGCACATCAATAAACTGGAAAAGATGCAAAAGCATGCTATAAAATGGCTTTCGGAACTGAAAAACAAGAGTTACGTGGAGAGGCTGGAGGCATTAAATATACGAAAGCTAGAAGATATAAGAAAAAGATGTGATATGATTGTCACTTACAAAATAATAACAGGAATTGACCAAATTGGCAAAGAGGAATTCATGAAACCAGCAACTTCAAGAACAAGAGGACACAGATTCAAGCTAAGGAAATAAAGGTGCCAAAAAAATATTAGAAAATTATCTTGTGCAAACAGAGTGGTAGACAGTTGGAACAAGTTAAGTGAAAAGGTGGTGGAGGCCAAAACCGTCGATAGTTTCAAAGCGTTATATGACAAAAAGTACTGGGAAGACTGAAGACCACGAGGGTAGCTCTCATCCTGTAACCACACTTAGGTAATTACCTTCAAATAATTATAATAATTTCAGTTCTCTATAAGGAAGTCAAAAAGGTAATTGTTATATTTATTTTCATGCCTCAGGAGAAATTCCATGTGTGTATACCACGACCAAGTATTGCACCTAGTATGGTAAGCGTTAACAATATGGCTTTCAAAAGTAGTAGGAGCTAGTTGGGTAAATTTATGTTGGGTGTAAATGCTTACAATGGCAATAGTGTAACTAAAATCTTAAATGCATTCCTGAGTTTAAGGAATTGTTGTTTATCACTTACGAATCTATTAAACTTTTGAATTTATATAAATACTGGTATATATTATGAATGGTTTGAAAATACTCTATCTTCAATACATCTCATTATGACCAGCTACAAAACTGCTGTTATTACCGCATTCCTGTCACAAAATCCTAAATATAAATCCATTTCCAGATGGTTATATTGTGAAGGAACACAAGGTCATTTCATGATGCAAAGATGCAGGAAACGATGGCTGGGTGCTGTGTCTCTTCCTCATGCTGTGAATATCATAACTAATAATGTATTCACTGATATCTGAAAATTGTACATAGTATCACAGTCAGAATCATCTATGACACTATCAACACAAAATAATTTCAGTTACCTATTCAGTAATATTCATTATTATTAAGTGGTGCTGTTGCCCCTAACTGCACAGCAGTGCTGTGAGCTCCTGCTGCATGTACCAGCCCTGGTCACACTCTCAGTACAGTACTGAGGGGTCTCACAGCCAGTACGGATGCTGACGATTTTTTTTCAAGATGGTTTCTGTTTACTGGAGTCCTGAGGCACAGAATGTATGCCCCGTGTATCTGTGGGAGTTTTGAATCTTTCCCTACACCTAAAAGTGCCATATGATGCTCAGTGCACCCCGATCCACTGCCTTAAGGCACTGCACAGTGCACTGGTTAAATACCCTTTCTCTGCCAATATCATTAATGCATTCCCCTAATAACACAAATCTCTTACGCATGGTTAGGTTTATATCCTTTGGCCGCTCCATATCTATCCTATTCATCCCTTCCTGCTGTCCCCATGAAACTGTAGCAACACAGCAGGTACACTAGTAAGTATGGCTTCCATTAATTGCACAAAGACTCACCGTCTCATAGCAATGATTGATGTTGTGGTAGCTCCTAGTCAATGCTGCTGTAGGGGCAAGTGGTGAGGTGGTGATGCAGTCCTCTTACCGGGTTGGTGAGAGTGGGGTCAGTGGTCCTACTTGTCACTTAACAATGCATTACAACACTTGCTTTCATATATATTATTCTGCTTTGTTTCTTTAACTTATTATGGTTTTTATCAGTTTACCAGATATTCATTCACTTGTATGCACTTTTTCACTATGTTATTGTCTGTTTATCCCTCCCAAATTAATAGAATAAACACTGGAGCTTCCCAGCCCTCAACCCCATCCACTAATCAGGTAAACAGCGTATGTTAGCTGTAGGGAGTTTTGTTTGGTAATTTCAAAGTCGGGAAGTGGATGAGTGTAATGACTTGATTTTTAAGACAGTTTACCTCATACGTGAACTCGTCTGTGATCCTCACATGCTTTCCCACCCTGTAAGGAGGGCACGACATTATTCTTTGCTCTCAGTGAATAAAAATATTCAGTGGAGCCTGGTTTACCACTTGTGACCCTTTGAGTGTCGGTGTATTAATCTCAGGGGAGGTACTGAGGCTCTTCTGCTGTTTCACATTTTTTTGGGGAGAAAGTTGCGCCATAGAAGTTGATAGAAAACTCCTTGCAAAATAATTACTCGGGTATTGGATGTGTTGTCTATTTATATACACTTTCCCAGTGTATTATTTATTCTGTCTTTGTTTTCACACCTAGCTTATCTAATGTATTGTGTTATGCAATGTGTTTATGTACTATTAATGTTGAAAGATCTGGGTTAAAGATGGAGATATTTCTGAATATTACCTGCTAATGACAATTCAAAAAGTGCAGCAGATTATCCAAAGGCTGAAGTACTTTCTATCAGTTATATTTGTGTACGTATATATTAAATGTAAAACTATAATATTTAATTAATAGAATGGAGCATTAACAGTTGTTACATTATACCCCTTCAGCCCTTATCCCCCAAAGCCGAGGCTGAAATTAAATGGGCTCAAGGCACTTCTCGCATTGATGAGCAGGAGGACCTTCAGTACATCATGGAGGAAATTGGTGAATGCACCTTGGAGGGAGAGAGAGAGGGAAAGGCTGATGACAAGAAGGGCAGGGTAGGAACCAGTGGGGAGAGTTGTGTGAGCAGTCTATCAAATGCATCCTCTTCCTCAACTTGCTTGTTGGAGACAAGTGACATAGATAATGAAAACAAAGTTTTATTATCCCCACCTGCGAAGGTAAAGTTTCTGTCTTTATTAATAAAATGTTGCCTATTTTGGTGACAGTTGTGAAGTCATAAGAATTTTCATGTTTCCTTTCTCTTTCAGGTAAGCACCAATCAGTTCAGCATTTGTCAAGCTTGCATGGCTTATTCATGCATGTCGATATGAAATTTCAAATTGTTTTCTGTCAAAGGGATTATTGTTATTGAAGTTACTTAATATTTTACAGGTAACTTGATTTGCTTTTACAAATCTGTGGTTTCCAATATTTCACTTCAAGATCTTTGTATAAAATAATGAGCATTAATTGTAATGAGCCACAATTTTCAAAGATGATGTCTTGGATGTTTCTTTAGCCAAAGCTTGTATGGTCCACTCAGAACTCATATCACCTGCCTGTCTCAACCTTATTCCTCACCATGGCAAAGACATTTGCACATGGAATTATCATGTAATTAGGTAAGGAAGACAGTAGTGAGTATAACTCAAGCAACCACAAAACATCCAGATAGCAATAGTACAAATGAGCGAGCAGTATACTCAACACCCCTTTATCATCAGCCTTTCCCCTCTTTCTTCCCCCTCCAAGGTGCATTCAGTAATTTCCTGTATGACAGCCCCATCAGCACAACATGGTAGGAGGAGCTGACAACCCCTAATTTTGGCTCAGGGCACCCAGTTTAGCTCAGAGAACACATGCAAAATGGTGGAGATGGAAGAATCCAAGGGAGTAACTTGGAAAAGAGTGCTTCATAACACACTACAACCAATTTTGAAGCTGAGGTCCATCATATGTATTGAACCAACTCCTAGCATGCAAGGCTACAGAAACTGTAGAAAGAACTAATAATGCTGTTTTAAGGAAAATTTACTGCCGAGGAACCCCCAAACTCCTGAGAAGACCTGGGAAGCAAAGCCAGGTAACCAAGGTAGCCAGAACCTAATAGAACATGAGCAGACCCATGTTATCCAGGGGCACAAAACAATACCAAAAAAGCCAGTGCAATAGCCAGAGTATAAAACAAAACAAACTGGACAAACAACTGGAATAAAGCAAAGTGCATAAACTGCAGAAAACTGTTAACTTTAGAGAGTAAACCAATGCTATACTGTACAGGATTTAAATTATTGTTTCAGGCATCTCTGTGTACAGGGGTCCTGGCAGATATATGGAAAAAAGCTAACAGTTTCAATCTACAAAATGTGGCAGCAAGGAAGATCCCCCTTAATTATAGACCTGTATCATTGACAAGTGCAGTAGTCAAAATATTTGAAAAATAATTAAAAACCAAATGGTGAGAACACCTGAAGAAAAATTATATAACAGAAGACAGGCAGTATGATTTTCGATCTGGAAGTTTTTTGATCTTTCATTACATCTGTGTAATGAGTTTACATAGTTTCTATGATAGAGCCACAGAGATTTTACAGGAAAGAGATGAATGGATTACCTACTTTTATCTCGCCCTTAAAAAGGCTTTCAACAGAGTCCCACATAAGAGATTGTTCTGGAAACTGGAATATACTGGAGTGACAGGGAGACTTCTAACATGTATGAAAACTTTTCTAACAGACAGAAAAATGAGAGCAGGAATCAGAGGTAATGTATCAGACTGGAGAAATGTCACGAGTGGAGTTCCACAGGGTTCAATTTTTGCACCAGTAATGTTCATTGTCTACATAAACGACCTACCAGAGGAATATGAAATTATATGAACATGTTTGCTGATGATGCTAAGATACTATGGAAGATAAGAAAATTAGATGATTGTCATGCCCATCAAGAAGACCTGGATAAAATAAGTGTATGGAGCATCACTTGGCAAATGGAAATTAATGTCAATAAATGCCATGTTAAGGAATGTGGAATAGGAGAAAATATACCACACACAACCTTCAAATTATGTTAAAAAGCTTTAAAAAAAAATTCAGATAAAGAGATCTAGGGATGGATCTTGATAGAAAAGCACCTGAGGACCACATAAAGAACATTGTTCAAGGAACCTATGCTACACTTTCCAATTTCATAATTTTTTTTTAAATACATGAATGGTGAAATACTAAAGAAATTGTTCACGACTTTGTGAGACCAAAGTTTGAATATGCAGCAGTGGTGTGGTGCCCATATCCTAAGAAGCACATTAACACACTGGAAAAGATCCAAAAACATGCAACTAAATGGCTCCCAGAGCTGAAAGACGAGAACTATGAGGAGAGGTTAGAGGCATTAAATATGTCAAAACTAGAAAATAGAAGAAAAAGAGGCGAAATGATCTCTACGTATAAAATAGTAATGGGAATCGACAAAATTGATAGGGAACTAATAAGCAGTTATGGTGGGTATGGTGATGAAATATGAACATAGCATAGAGCCTCATGAAATGAATAGACGACACCAGCAGTCACACGATGCAAGACAATGCCTCAAATATTATACACAATTCGCTATGACTAGCTACAGAGCTGCTGTTATTACAACATTCCTGTCACAAAATCCCGAATATGAATCCATTTCTACAAGGTTATATTGTGAAAGAACATGAGGTTGTTTCATGATACATAGGTGCAGGAAGCAATTGCTAGGTGCTGTCTCTCTTAACCTCATGCTTTGAACTGGGTACTGTGAACTGAGGTCCAGGCTGCAGTTCCCTTATGTGGCTTTGGCCGGTTTTCTGCTTTGTTATGATTCCTGCGGTGTTGTACAGTAATTATTGCATAATTAGTATGTTTAATATATGTTGTATGTCATATGCTAAAAGAATTTTAATTGTAGTATTAATAATAATAATTCATCATCTTGAAATTTAAAAAGGTGCAGTATTCTATTATGCTCCCTCTATAATACATATTTTTCTATATATGAGTTACTTTGTGTTCACAGGTGACGCCAGAGAAATATGCTGAATTTCCTGATGGTGTAATGCAGCCAGGAGGTAGGAATTTCAGTGTCTGAAGAAAAATATTGAACCACTTAAAAAGCAATTTATGTAAATCATCTGACTGGTTAAAGGCGACTACTTAAAATTTTGTTAAATAATTGTCTGAGTAATCACTTTGATATTAATTAACTAAAATTGTTTGATAATATTGTGTATAACAAATTTGCAACTTAATGTAATCAGACGTAGTTTCTGGGGAAAGTCCCTTCCTGGTGGCTCTGAAGCTATCTTGCTGATATTGCTCCATACTAAAAAGGTCACATCAATCACAGTTTTGTTTGGCCTACTGGGAACCAGAGCCAGAATCTGGCCCTGCCAGAACCTCTAATCATCCTATAAAATGGTCTTCTAAAATAATCTTTCCTGTCTCTTATTATTCAGACGCAATCTTGTTGAATCAGCTCTGATACACAACATATCCAACGTGAACCTTAGTCCTAGCTTTGTTGCTGTTGATTCTACCCTGTCACAGTACATACTTAAACGCTCTAACCTTCTTAATAAACATGACCTGACTTAAGCCTATCCCTTTTACTTACCTTCCTCTTATTCTTACCTCATCTCAGTCTTCTTTCATCCCATTCTTATACTCATCCCATTTGTACCATTCTTTATCTTCTTCTAGAAATTACCTTCTTCTCTTACCTGCTCCCTCACCTCACTCTTTTCTTTATTAGCTCGTTCCTTCCTCTCTTCCTCACATACGACTTGATACTGGTCAAGGACGGACCGAAATGTCGTTGTTTCTCTATCTTCCGTTGTGAAACGACGACATAAACATTATGAGACCCTCTCGTTTGTCATCTACTTCCTCCTTTGTCCATGTGTTGCTTGCTTGATGGGCTGTAGGCATTTACTGTTATCAGTTTATCATCCTGATTCCAAACCTGCAATGCCATTATGTCAACTTCTCCTGGGTTGTCGATTATTAACTCTCTTACCTTCAGGTGTTCTTTACCAACACAGCCACAACTCCACCCTTCCTAATTTTCCTGTCACGTCTCCAAACTGAATAGCCCCTTGGGAATACGTCTGTATATGTGTGTGTGTGTGTCTGTCTGTCTGTCTGTCTTGAGGAATGTTTATCATACAGAGATGTACAGTACTATGTGGGGGTGTAAGGTAGTATTTCCCAACATATATGGGTTATGTGTAGGACCTAAACATTGTATCTCATGGAGTCATAAAACAATCGCTCGGCGCTACGCAAGTGCTTTGGCTTGGGTTCGTATCCTGGCTGGGAAGGATTGGCTTGGTGCCAATCCTTAACTGTAGCCTCTGTTCACCCAGCAGTGAATGGGTACCTGGTTGTTAAATGATTTGACAGGACGTATTCTGGGGCAAAATTAGGATTAAGGACCTGCCCGAAATGCAGTGTATGCTAGTGGCTTTACAAGAATGTACGAACTCTTATACAGGTATATAAATAAAAAAAAATGCTAGTTATGTTTTTCAATGACTTATATTTTGATCTTTGCAGGTGTTGAAGTAACTGATTCAGACATTGTAATTGGTATCAAGTCAGAGCCAATACCCATTGCTTCCAGGTCAGTCATTAACATTTTGATTACTACTTTATTTATTTAGTGCTACATGAAACAGAAACTTTCAATGTCTTTCCATTGCATTTTTTAGCATCACTTTTTGATAGTAATTTTTTTTTATTATAAATTTGTAATGAAGAACTGAATTGATAGTTTAATTTTACTAAGAGATTTTTTGTTTTAAGTCTTTTACAAAATTATCTAGAAAAACGTATTTTTTTAAATTTAAACCAAATCGGCTTTAAATGTATATAAGAAGTACATTTCTGAACAGACTCACTTGGTTGACCTCACAGTCCTGGGTTTGATTTCTGGGGGGTTGGACTTGAGCATTTGAGTAAAATTTCTTTTAACCTAATAGCTGGGAGTTAGGCATCTATTGTGGCTTGCATCCAGGGACAGGTCAGTAATTGACCTTGAGGGATCTCAATGAGCCTAACAGGATTTCTGTCCCTGACTATGAAACTATAGTGAACTATTGATGTTCAGAGTAGGGATAGTGATTCTGCAGAACCCTTCCCACACTTCCCAGAAGTCAGGATATTTGAGCATTCTTCTGAAACTTTGACATGCCTTGGCAGGATAATCACAGTGATGCCTAATGATGGATGCCAAGTGAGGCATTCCCCCAGATCTAAAAACACAAGCTCCAAGTATCTTGTTCAGAACATTGTATACAATACCTGGAGAAAGGATGTAGGTTGCATCCAAAAATTTGGTTTGGACATAAATTAGGTCTTTCATTCACCTTCGAAAAATATATTATTGTGTGCATATTAGTGATACAAATAAATCTGTGTGTACATACGATCTAAGTGTTATGTGCTGATTCAAATAACAGTATTGACAATCCAATGCACCATTGCACTTGAAAACAGGAAATGTCAATAAAAATATGAATAAAAATAAAATGAGTTCATTTTATGTAATTACCTAACTGTAGTTACAGGATGAGAGCTGTGCTCGTGGTGTCCTGTCTTCCCAGTACTCTTTATTGTATAACGCTTTGAAATTACTGCCAGTTTCGGCTCCACCACCTTCTCACTTAGCTTGTTCCAACCGTCTATCACTCTGTTAGCAAAAGAAAACTTTCTAATATTTTTTCAGCACCTTTGTTTCCTTAGCTCCAATCTGTGTCCTCATGTTCGTGAAGTTGCTGGTTTCAGGAATTCCTCTTTGTCAATTTGGTCAATTCCTGTTAGTATTTTGTAAGTGGTGATCATATCACCTTTTTCTAGTTTTGGCATATTTAACACCTTCAGCTTTTTCTTGCAACTCTTGTTTTTCAGTTCCTGAGGCCATTTTGTAGCATATATTTGCACCTTTGCAGTTTATTGATGTGTTCCTTGAGATATGTGCACCATACAACTGCTGCATATTCCAGTTTTGGTCTCATGAAGGTCATGAACAGTTTCTTTAATATTTCACCATCCATATAAGTAAAAGCAAGCCTGAAGTTTGAAAGCGACGCATACGCTCTTCTCACAATATTCTTTGTGTTCCTCTGGTGACAGTTTACTATCCAAAACCACCCATAGATCTCGTTCTTTATTAGAGTTTTTTAACGCTCGCACTGCGTCCCTTTTAAAATGATATTCCTGTGGTGTGCCAAAAATAAATTGTTCCAAAAACAGTATTTCTTCAAGTATTGTTAATTAGCACCCAGGAAGCACAAAAATCCAAGTAAAAAAGTCTCTACCTCTTGTAGTTTAGCTGTAATGGCCTGGAAAAGTTGCATTTTTTTTTTTTTTTTAAATGAGGCGAGTTGCTGCATGAGAATAATTTTGTTGATTTATTTTAAATGTTTCTCACTGTAACAAGTTGTTTCTATGTGTCAAAGATGGTGTTCATTATGTATAACTTTGAAAATATACATTATACATATATGTGTGTATAAATATATGCACACCAAATATTTATTCATACTAATACATATATATATATAAGCCTAAATCTTGTAATTGGACATAGCACACATTTTGCCTGAAATATATAATGGCAATCTATATGTAATTGTATATAAGTGGGCAAGTCAGTGTAAAATGGTTCATAATAATGGGAAGCATAGTGTCATAACAGCTTGGCATAGCCAACATGGCAATTGAGTGACACTGCCATAATGTACAGGATAAGTTCTGGTTCCAAATCTGATCACTGAAATAACATCACAGCAGACATGGCAGGATGTGCAGAAAATCGCTTTGAAAAGCAGAGGTGCAATAGGTACTCTGAGAGAGAACTCCATTAATATTTATGGGCCCAGCACTGTTTAACATGCTTCCGCTACACATAAGTGGTATAATTTGCAGAGCTCTCATGGTATTCAATAGAGAATTCTATAAACAGCTGTAAATGATACCTGATCAACCAAGTTGTGAGCAGCTGCATCCAGCAGCCTGGTTCACCAGACAACCAACCAGGAGCCCTGGTCAGAGTCATTGACTAGAAACCATGGGCCACGGGGACATTGACCCCTGGAATCAATACAAGATAACCACTAGGTAACAAAGAAGAGCTGCGATTGGGCTACCTATAAATATGCTTTTAACACTTTGTTGCACCGCGCGCATGAGACCCGCACTACCCCGGGTGGGCCTCAGCGTTTCACGGGAGCGCATGGTAATGTTCAGCTTTGTTACCTCAATTCTGGTCCCTAGGGCTTTCATTTTGGTATCAATGTATTCGCAATGAAATTCCCTACAAGAGTATATGCATATACTGTAATATCCAAAACCGCGGCGCGCCCCTCCCGAAGCCACCGCCAATTTGCCGCCGCTGCCGACGCAATGCTGCTTTGTTACCGGAAATGCGTCTACTAAAAATATGACTCAATGCTGCGTCATTACCGAGCGAAAGTGTTTTTTAAACTCAATGCTATATTTTTTATTGCACTGAACATTAATCTGGTCTGTGAGGTTGTTAATACTTACCTTATGAGGCAACCAGGTGATATGCTCAGAAATGTGCATTACATATAAGCTCTGTGCCTTTTTTTCTAAATTAAGCACATTACTCACATGGTAATATTTGTTTAGATTTGCAGTGTCCTTATGGTAACTTTTATTGATTGATATTAGGCAATATATCTTGATGTACAGTATAATATAAGGTTTTTAGCTCTTAGTCACTACAAGTCAAACTTTATCAGGCAATTTATTTAGCCATCAAATTAAAACAAAATTAAAATGTTATAATATGTATTACAAATGATTGTTATTAATGGCCTCTTGTCTGTGTTACTGATGGAATGATTAAGATTATGTACCTGCTAGTTATGGAGACTGAGTGTAAGACACTGTTGTCCCCCAGGTCACTCTCTGATTGTGGGCTGGTTCCTGGAGAACTGCGGCGCTCATATCCGATCACACGGTACATGAATGCCTCTGTCTGTGATTCTTAAAGTCATGGAATGTACCCATCACCTAAGCACATATCAACCTTTCATTAATCTTATTGAAAACAAGTATTTTATGATCTTTTTTGAGTATACAGTCATACAATTTGTGTTAGGCAACATGTACTAAAGTTTACAGTATTGCACTTATTGAACTTGTTTACAAATAAGTTTAATGCTGGTTGAGAGCCTTTAACTGCATCTTTCTCCTTTGAGGACATAACTTGATCCTCTCAAGCATGGCAGAATTTTTTTTCGTCCTTTATATTTATTTTTCCGGAAAAGTTTGAGCTATAAAATATGAGCAAGACCAACTGTTTTTCTTTAAATTTATTAATATTCAATTTTATGCAATTGGAATTTAACTATTAATGAGATTGAACTAACTTCCATTAACATGCGAAACAGGATAAGGATTATGAATGAATAAATATATTTGTGTTTACTGGCATAATTACATTGTTTGAATTTATTTACTGAATTCAGTATTCTTCTGTGAAGGTAAATAATATCTTTAGATTACCAGTTGGCCTACATTGTCTTTAAAAGCACTTTCAGTAAGCATTTTTTCTCCAGTTACATTTACCTGACTGTCCCAGAGTTCTTGCTTTCATCAGTGATGTGGGAATTTCCCAGCAGGTGTTTATTTATATTAAGATTACTTATAACTGAATGGCCTGTAAAGAGTGGACTGTATGATTGATTTATATACTTGCTAGGTTATACCACTTACTCATCTTTGGGAGGTTGATTTAATATTGCTAAATCCACCATATAATATTATGTAATCATGGGGGTTAGTAAATCATGGTAATTAATAAATTTCTATCAAGTTAGTAGACTAACTACAATTATTAATGAATAAGTTAGGAGGGCTTAGCTGCTGAGTAGGTTTGCGTATGAAACGTCAGTGAAACTTCTCGAGTCAGTCCAAATCCGCGCTTTCTAGTTGGGGTGTCGAGCCCACGTGTAAACCATAAGTTGAGGCGGTTGGCTCCCGGTTGTTTCTCTCCACTCTAAGGATAAAATACAACGTAACTCCCACAGTGCTAATATTTCCCCAGTTCATCTCAAGTGAATAGACTAACTTCCTATTTAGACCTAAACTTACTCTGAACGTTTAAGATCTCCTGTGGCATAATGGCCGGCTTATTCTATCACAGGTAAATATGGCCATAAATCCCAATAGAATGTTAATAACCAACCGGACACAATTTCCCTTGTCGTGTGAAGCTAGTAGCAAAGTTTGGGAGCTGTGGGACGTCGGATGACCCAAATATTGGACGATGCTAGTCAACTTACTTCAACAGGGATCAGATCGAGCTTGTGTTGTAGTGAGACTCTGTGTGCAAGTGATGCGTCCTCCCTCCCTCTCTCCCTCATGGTGAACATCCGGTAAATTAGTCACGCTATTTAATTTATCTTGTTCACTAACGAGACGCCATTGGCGTCATTTTACACCCTAATATTTTACATCGAACTCCAGGAAACAATTTTCCATTGTTCATAACACTGGATCGAAAGGTTTTCATGATTAAAATCATATTTAAAAAATGTTGAATACGTGACATGATTATTATTTTGCCCATGAATCAACATGTCATGGATGTGGAAATTCACCTTGGGATGGAAGTACACTTTAATTCTTGTTAAATTTAATTAATTTTCAATGTAAATAACAAATGCAAATAAAAGCAAATTGCAGACTGGTTTTAATAAGAATTAGATAAAGAAATTGTCACCGCGTGAGACGACGTTTGCAATAGCCCACCATTGATATTAGGAACTTTTGGTGCTTCCACACTAGAAATTACTATTGTTAGTACATTTAATTCCCTAGCACAACACATTTATCTTGCTGTGCTAGGGGTTAGTACTTTGGGTGTTGGAAATTTCGGACAAGTAATATTAGAATTTTGTAGGATTTTCTGGGGAAACCCCTTCCATTTTTTGCTTCCATTTTTTTGTACGACAGTTTTTGGCCTCGTATAATGCATATGATCGAAATGCGATGTTTTTTGTAGGAGAACAGGTTGAATAATGGTTGAATAATAGCGTCCCTGCATACGTGGAGTGCAGGGACGCAACTCTCACGAAAATGCGTGGAAAACTTTACACACACACAATCATACACATTTACTAATACTCGGCTCAACATACTCTCAAACACTTGCAAATGAAATATTAAATTAAACACAAAACATACTGGTATTTTAATTAGGAGAAACATTTACATTAATAACAACAAAAGCCAGAATTATATACCAGTCATTACATACTGTACTTCCCTATCTCCCATTAAATGAAAATCTTGGTTAATTGAAGATTATATACCAGTCATTACATCATTTGGGACTCATAGTTGGCATGGCTTTCCCTGTGTTCGGCAGACTTAACCCAGCTGCAGCAAAATAGACAAAAGACTGGCAAATGCTTTTTTAATATTGAAAAAAGTAAAACCATGCATGGGGGGGGGGGCATAACAATCCACGTCACAACTACAAAATTAACAACATTTCCTTGCAGCAGATTGATGAAGAAAAGGACCTTGGAGTCAGAATCCGTCATTCACTAAAAATTGCATAACAAGTGGGAGCTGCAGTAAATAAAAGCTAATCAAACAATAAGAATTATCAAGCAAACCTTTGACTTTAAGGAAAAGAAAGTAGTTATTCAACTTTATAAATCTCTGGTGTGCCCTTAATTGGATAATTGTATCCTAGCATGGAGATCTCATCTTCAGAAAGACATAGCTTCTTTGGAGAAAGTTCAACACTCGATAATAAAAATCATTCCGAAGTAAGTCAATTTTCCATCGGAAACAGTTGAATGCCACAGGACTAATAACACTGTAAACCAGACATGATATGGCGCACCTCATCGAGACTTAAAATGCTGAACAATTTGGAAGATATTGATCCAGACAATTTCTTCAAAAGGTCAGATGTAAGACAAATAAGGAACAATGGTTTCAAGCTCAACAAGCCACAATGTAGGACAGAAAACAGGAGATTTTTTCACCCATAGGATTATAAACCCATGGAACTTGCTAAAATCATAAATACCAAAACTCTGCTAACTTTTAAAATCTACCTTGAAAAAATCCTCAGGACAAATGGGTCGGGGGGAACTTTGACACACTGCCAGCTTTCTGTCCTCATCTAGGCCACTAGTGTGTTAGTGGCTTGGTAAATTCTTGTAAATATATATATATATATATATGCATGCACAAATTAAAACATATACATTTGCCTGTATACAGTATGAAAAAAAGTTTGATTTGGGGTTTATTGAACTTTCTATTAATAATATTTGCATTTTACTGATCCAGTATTAGCCATTAAGAAAATACCATTAAAACCACTTTTGACTTCAATGCGCAGGTCATTATCTGATGGAGCATCGTCATATCAGCGTTCCTTGTCCAACACTGATTCCCTAACACGTCCCCGTTCTTTGGAGACTGAAAATAATCTCAACTTGGACCATACACCCAAGGCTGAGAAAGGTAAGTTTATAGTTTTTTGTTTTTTATTTATTTATTAATTTCTATTTCATATATGGGCTGGTTATTTTCTCTACCATTTTCAGAGTATTTTAAAGTTTGTGATATAGCTGAAGAGGCTGCTTATGCTATTTCAAACAATTTGAGAGATTGTGCAGTAGGTAAGGTGAAACTGAATTGAGAACTCATGGATTGAACTTCTGTTAGTTATTCAATGTTGGTTTACATTTTCTATTATTTCTACCTTACAACACCTATAATGACCCAGCAGAGATCGTTTTAAATGTTCCAAGTGTAGTTGGTTCTAGTATGTCAGTCTATCCAAAGACATAGCCATATCTAACCTTAAGTAGCATCTGAATAATTCTTCTCAAAAGTGATTTTCATATTGACTGAAACCCTTATTTTTATTATGTTTTATGTAGAGAATAGACATGAGAAATATTTTTAGCTTTTGATGAACACTGCTCACAAAAATGGTTTTGTTGCCTCATCATCATTTAGATTAGTAATTTACTTCAAACTTTTAAGCTTTAAGATTTCACACCATATTGGATGCCAACAAAAAGCTTAGATTCATTTGGTGTGAAATTCATGTTTATTACCGCACTTGATGTAGTGTTAACATTACCTGTATATTAGGTGAAGTTAGTGGTGTTTTGTTGTTCAGTATAATACTATGTTATTAATTACAGTAATGCAAGTATTATTTTAATGCTTACCGAGTGATTCTTGATGCTTAAGTTACTGTTCAATAATGAAAGATTTATTATTTATATTTTTAGTTAAAATTTCAATTATTCTTTTTTAAATATTTATGGAACAAGTAATATGAATTATTTTTGAAGTATTATTGCCATGAAAGAATTTTATTACATTAAGGTTTTCATTGTTAAATATAACACAAATAAGGCTAAAAATCTTAACACAATTTTAATGCAGAAATCATACAGCATTTTATATCCCGTAATATTTTTAAGCAACTGGAATTATAATAATCGTGATAGTAGATAATGTACCTAATTAAAATCGTGTTTAATTTGGTACATTTTGTGTTTTTACATGTATCTCTAATTTGTTCTGTGTTTTTTGCCATTACAATTGCCGATGAGTGATTGTTATGTGACACGGTACTAACCCAAATCTTGGCTCCTTCCTTACATTCCATGTCTTGACTGACTTGACTCCAAACTGCAGCGAGCTCCAGCTTAGATTCTGTCAGTGATGAAGGTAAGAGTAGTACAGTATGAAGGATTTTACATTTTTGTTTTGTTTGAAGCAATGATGCATTAAGCATTTTGTGCTTTATTGAAACTGGCTTTTGTCTTTGTTTATTCATCTCAACTTTTTTTTTTTAGCAGGCATATACTGATAGGACATTTTTTATATATACCATTATTTTTTATTTCATATTTAAAAGGGGTTGCTTGTTACGATGATTTAGTTTTCTGGGGAGAGTCCCTTGTGGCTCACTGGAGCTGCTATCTCTTGACAGTGTGCTATACTACTAGGAGAAAGTAGAACTGAAGGGACAAATTGGTCCCTTCAGTTCTATTGGCCTACTGGGAACCAAGAGCCAGAACCTGGTAAATATAGGTAATACTTGATTGGTTTGGGCCTGTGGAGAATGGATCATGGTTAATGAATGTATAATTAAGTGGGGTAAAATGGAGATAATGAATGTTGTTGAGAGCAGCGACTGAAATATGCTGTGAGAGACAATAAACATGAGAAACATCAGTGAAAAGGCTTTTATGGAGTTCATAATTTTAGAATTGCTTGGTGGTGATTTAGTTTTTCCACCTGGTGGAAAAACTTAATTTTGAGCAAAATGTGTATTGATATTAAAAGATAAACTCAAAATATTGATTTGTCATTTATCTCAGTAAAACCAGCCATTACCCTTGAACTGTTTGATAATTATATGCTACAGCATTTATCATCATTGAACATTTCAATAACAATATCGTGCTTTTTCTGGGGTGAGCCCCGTCGGTTCACTGATTTACATTGATCAGTGCCATCAATCGTGGAGTTCTGTTGGCCTACCAGGGACCACGAGCCAGAACCTGGCCTCTTCAGAGAGGTGCAGGGAGCAATGGCCTCCTATTAGCATTTTACATTTAAAGTTAATCACAATTGCTACCAACCAGGGAAGACACCCAGAAAGATAGGCACACTAAAACAGACTACTGCATGTTTACAAACAATACCACATTCCTAAAATTGCAAAGATAACTCCCCCACAATGAAAACAAAACCTGTATTATGCAATATCACAAACTGTAATTCAAATTTTACCATATATGTTGACATACTTTATAATGTCATATCATAAGACATATTAAAATGTCATTTGTTCATAAGAAATTTCACTCAGTTTCACAAAACAAGAAGAAAAAATACAATATACTGGCATACTTTACTTTCTTCCTGTAAATGTGCACCGAGTCAAGGGTTGAATTTATTCCCCAGAAAGTATCCGCCGCCACCGACACAGTATTCCAAGTCATCTCAGCTCTTACCTGACCTTCTTGGCTGGGTTGCAGCAGAAGGCTGCTGCTGCAACTGCTGCTGCTGTTCCAGTTTTCTCCACTGCAGTTATCTCTGGTTCAACATCTGCTCCTGATCTTCGGGACAATTTTTCAACTCTACCATTCTCTGCCAGTAAGATTCAATGGATTCTGAACTACGGTACAGTATATGTTACAAATCTCGTCATATTTATTCCTTGACTCTTTTCTTGCATTCTTATGAGAGATGTAAATTATTTACTTATATCATCAGGTAAATTTAGAATTAGTATTTTTTGAAGGAGCACCTGGTGGCTCCGTGCAGCTATCTTGCTGAGATTGCTCCATACTAAAAGTCACGTTAGTTGCAGAGGTTCTGTTTGGCCTACTGACACCAAGAGTCAGAATCTGGCCCCAACTTCCCCTCACAGGGAAGGCACCCAGAAAGATAGGCACACTAAAACAGACTACTGCATGTTTAAATACAATACCTATACAATATAAGCTATTGATAATTTGCCACCTTACCAGAAATGGCATCTGGTGGGGTATGTCTTGGTATATAGTTTCTAAGTATGCACTCACATATTTGTGTCGCTAATATGTGCACAATATTATTTTCCTTGAATAATAAGACATATTGTTTTTGCTGTTATTACACTGTTTACATATTATATATATAACTACATTTCTATATGCCATAATGAACCACTATGGATCCATATATGAACTATATAATGGGAGCCGGTCGGCCGAGCGGACAGCACGCTGGACTTGTGATCCTGTGGTCCTGGGTTCGATCCCAGGCGAGAAACAATGGGCAGAGTTTCTTTCACCCTATGCCCCCTGTTACCTAGCAGTAAAATAGGTACCTGGGTGTTAGTCAGCTGTCACGGGCTGCTTCCTGGGGGTGGAGGCCTGGTCGAAGACCGGGCCGCGGGGACACTAAAAAGCCCTGAAATCATCTCAAGATAACAAGATAACTATGCAATTCTGGTGGGTGTGGTAATATCTCAGTCCAAGCACAGTATAGCACCACATGCTAGTTGTTAACAAAACCTGACACAGCAAAGTGACTCCCAATATACTACACACATTGCTAACTCTAGCCACAACACTGCTATTATTATTAGAATCCAGGTCACTAAATCCTAAATATGAATAATTTTGCACAAGTTTATTTTCTTAGCGGCCCATGAAGTTGCTCCCATTTCCTTCCTTTTGTCCTGCCATTCCCTTTGTGTCTGTAATTCAAGCCTAGGCAGTTTCATGCAATACTCTTGACATGTAGGTACTAATATGTGGCAGTAGAAGGCAGTGACAAAGCAAGCCAATTATCAGCACTGCAATACTCGGCAATCTCATTAACACTGAAGAATGATGTTTGGAGGTGTTTTGAGTTTAGCTGAAGAACTTTCTGGAGGTCATTCTGGGCTGAACGAACTTGTCCAGTCTCCATTGCCCTGGTATGACTAAAAAGAGGATGCTTGAAATGATCACTGCTGTGCCAGACTAAAATTTGGTTCTGACTAGTTTTATTTAGTCCTGTCCTTGGGAAGAAAAGGGTGCATCCATGCAACCAGCTCGGAAAACAAGCATTTCATCTATACTCAAAGCCTTATTTTTATGTCAGCTGGTCATTTGCTACATTTTCTCATTATTTTCAAGCATAAAAATACTGTTACTACTAAATGAATAGTTTATGTGGTCGTGTGAAATGTAATAGTTTTTTTCTTGTGGTGTAATTTTTATTATCAAGAAAATTAATAATAATTAAATGTGATTTTTTGCCTTTATTTTCTAATTTAGTTAATAATATATACTGTTTTTTATTACTCTAATTAGTAGCTCACAAGCACTGGCATTTCTACCACATGACTTACATATGCCGTCTACAGTACTAAAATATATAAACTTCCATTTTCAGATCTTGAAGTCCTTGGTGGCGTGCCTTCCATCCGACCTCTAGAAACATTACATAATGCCCTTTCCTTGCGTCAGTTGGATGCTTTTCTCGAGAGAATGGCTTTAACGCAGTTTCGTACTCCACTATCTTCCCCTCCTAAGATGCCTTCAACCCCAAGACACCCGCGCTCACAGCCACCACCACTAGGTCTTCAGTCTCCATCATCTAGTAAGTGGTCAAGAGACAACTCTCTGGAAATAATGTAGATGATATGCATATTGACTTTAGGCAGTGATTATGCTCCTGTAATGAGAGGATGCATTTGTGATCGTATATTAGGAGTGAGTTATTTTGTTTAGGTATTTTGTACCATATTAGGCTAAGTTGCCTAACTAGCCAGATTTCCTGAAAAAAATTATTTTTCAAAATTTTTTCTTCAGGAATGATTATACTTTCCATTACATTACATTATCCAGTACAGTATATGATTTGAATTGTTATACTTTGAGTCAAAACATAGAAATTTTATCAAACATAACCTATCTAACTTATCCTAACCAAACCTAACATAACTAAGTCAATAAATCATGTTCCTAATATAATACAGTATAGTATAATTGTAAGAAAAGAACCAATTTGGAAAGAATTATTTGAAAATAACAAAAATCCCTCTGCTTGTTAGGCAAATTGGAGTTTGCATACTAGGCCAAGTAATGCAGTTCTGGCTATTAATATGACATACAGTAGTCTGATTAACATCATGTTTATTGGGCAATTAACATGCAGTTTAAATAGGTATCCACTGTGGCCTAAAGAACGTACGTCATTTGCTGCACAGGCTAATGTGGTGATATGATGACCAACCCACACATCACAAAGTGAAAGAAACAACAGCGTTTCAGTCCGTCCTGGACCATTGTCAAGCCGTGTGGTCCAGGCCGGCCTTAAACGTTGTCGTTTCTTTCACTTTCTGATGTGTGATTTGGTCATAATATCTTCACCCACATTATAGTGACTCATTGTTTGCATATTGTGGTGATAGTTGAATGGTCGTGGCTTCAACTATGACCATTCATTTGACTTCAACTAAATAGGAGTAAATTGTTAATTTTACAAGAAGAAAGGATACTGATTCATTTTGTCATTGAAAAATTTGTCTTATAGACTTTTTAAATGTCAGCATTCTCAATTATTATATGCTGGTTCCTAATTTTACAGCATTTAGATATGCATTTATATGTGTGTGAGGACATCAGTCTTGCATACACAGGACAGTACATACAGTACGGGTTTAGGTTTTTGTGCAAGCAACTTAACTTTTATATTATTGCAAGAATGGCACTAATAGTACAGCAGATTAGCATATCTTAGTGTTAGTATTATTTAATTATGGATACCTGTAGTCTGAAAGTATTTAAAACTTTTTTGTATGTTGATCAATGGGAATTATTGTGTGTTTCTTGTGATGTAACTATGCAGATGTTCACTATAGACTTTATTCCCGTCTTTTTTGAAAGGTTATAAGCAAAGTTACAGCACTACCGAGAAGTAAAAGAGTTACAGTTGTGTGTATTAACATACATTAGAAGAAAGTATCAATTGTATTAATTAATGCAACTATAAATCTGGTCAGTGAGGTAGTAACTAATTTCTTTGCTAAATTTAACGCAAGTCTTAGAGAGTCAGTACTTAGGCAAACTTGTAAGTACATTATATAGATGTAGTCATAACGATGTAGTCTTCATACTCGTACAAACAAGTGAGTAAGCTTGTGAAACTGCTTTCTCTAAAAGTTTGTAAAATTTTGTGTGTACAGTACAATGTTTGCAAATTTTAGTGCAGAATTTCCTTTTTTTTTTCCTTTTTAACAAAGTAGCATTAATAATGCATGAATACTTGTGCTACCTAGGTGTATGTTTACTGCTTTTGCTGAATCACTAAGTTCCTAAAATTACATCTGCTTGATAAAGTACCAGTTCCCAGATAGATGCTCTGAATGACCACCATAATTATGGCAACTAATTGTACATGACAGTTTTTAACTTCATTTCAAGTTTGCTTGGTGTAAGATATCCTAGTTTCCGAGAGCCTGTATTTGATCCCAAGTGAGGCAAAACCTGGAGCTGTAGTTTATGTATATGGCATCAATGTTTGTATAGTGTCTCCATACATTTCCTTGACAAATACAACTTTTTTATACAGCAAAAGAAAAAGAAATAAGAGCTTCTTTTATTTGAATTGAAATGTCATGCATGTAATATGGTTTACCAGATCTTTTACCTGCTCTTTACTTCCAATATGGCTCCTACTTACATGGGTTTATTTATTTATTATATATATATATATATATATATATATATATATATATATATATATATATATATATATATATATATATATTTATATATATACATATATATATATACATATACATATTTTATATATATATATATACATTTTTATATATATATATATATATATATATACATATATATATATATATATATATATATATATATATATATATATATATATATATATAAAATTTATTTGTTAAAAATATCTTGTGTCTATTTTGGATTTGGTCGATGTGTGTGGAATGCCATTTATTAACCCTTCGGCTGTGAGTCACATCACATGATGGGGTGCCTAAATATACTCAAACTGCTCGTCCCATCATATGAGGTATTAGGGAAATGCCCAAGATTTAAGTTTTGCATATACATGGGGCTCACAGCTTACCTCTAGTAACAGTCCCCTATTTTGAACAAAAAAATCAAATCCAGAGTCCCTCACTTTCCTTCTAGGGCCTTAGTAAAAAAAATGAGTGCCACATCTGGCAACATCACCCTCCAGTGTCTGAACATGTAGGGCGGCAATACTAGAAGCCACTGAACTTTTATCAATAGCAAATAAGTGATTACCAATACTTTGTGTATATATTTCAGGCAAAATGTGTGCTATGTCTAATTATAAGATTTAGGCTTTGTTTTTCTTAACTGTTATTTTTTTTTTGTGTGTGAATAAATACATGGTGTGTGTGTGTGTGTGTGTGTGTGTGCGTACACATTTATACACCTACATCTATACATACCTATACTGTACAGTATTTTAAAAGTTATACCTAATGAACCCCATCTTTGACTTCATTGTCTTTCGTCTGGTTTCATCAGTGTCAGTAACTATGATTATGGATTTTTACTTGACCTTTTGTGGATCATCCCCTGATGTCGAATACCATCGCCATTTATCGTTTGACTCTTGGCTTCTGGAAGTCCAACAGTATGTTGGCTGATAGCTACCTCCTCAACCGCATCATCAGTCCATTGCACTGGAATGTGTGTTGAAGCTTTTAAGTGTGTTGTAGTTCTTATCTAATTTCGAGGGTTTTCTCTTGTATAAAAGAGTTTTTACTTCTCTAAGATGCCATAATATCAGCCAAAAATAAACTTTGAGTGTAATGAAATTTTCCTTTCTGGGCAGCACCTCAGTATAAACCTATTTCCATTTCCACCTCATGCTTTCTTCTTTTCCCCATGATGGGTAAATTATAGTAGGGAAAGTTGAGGAACAAACTGTTTGCCAGTTTTAGGAGTTGGTTTGGCATTTTGGTTTCTCTAATGTTTTCTCCTAGATGTTAGATGTTGTTTGTTTTATGACTCGGATTTTCAAGTGGTTCACCTTGATAGTGGGTTGATTTTAGAACCACATTTGCTACCCCACCTTGTCGACAGGGCAGGATATTGATCCTGGCCTATGATGGGTCGAGATATAAGCCTGGTGACTTGATTGTAGTCCCGTGGGGTGTTTGTGCAGTAAGCTTCATTGAACTACTTAGGTGCCAGCCAGAAAGGGCATTTCATTACACTGGACATTATTTTTGCTCATCATATATTAAGCAAATTCCACTTTCACTTCCTCGAGTTACAAGTTGAGGAACCTGTCAAAGCTATGGCAATGTTTTGTCCATTATTATGAAGGGATTGACTCAGGTTTGAGTGGTAAATTAAAAACAAAAGAAAATGTGGAATCTACTCTTACATGTTTGACATGCACAATAACATGAATACATACATACATACATAAACTTGCACTTATACACACAATATGTATGCAATAATTATATTTTGTTAATTATATTTTGTTTATATATATATTTTATATAGCTACTGAGCATAACATTTAAAACAGTACTGTACAGGTACTGTATTTTAAGTAAAAAAAAAATACTTTATATTTCACATTTTAGGGCTATACCAGTAATTACTTTTATACCTCATACATATATGTACGAGACATTTTATACATGTCTCGTACGTCTTGTATGAGACGTCAGTGCATGATGTAGTAATATTAACTTGATGATTAGCAGTAGCAGGTTTAGTGCCCTTTTGCTGTGGGTAAATGATAGTACAGTTATCACTGCTTTGTTGCCCAATAGAGGTAGTAGTAAAGAAATTTGTGTGAGCATTTGTCCCGCTCCTTCTCCCCCCAGGTATTGGCTGGTCTGGGCCTCCATCCTTCGTCTCGTCTTCTGGCCCCTCCTCCCCCAACATCAATACAATGGAGTTCTTCTCACACCTGCACCGCTACGACACGTACATTCCACCTCCATCACCACAGTTCCTCAGTCCCATTACTCCTTTAACTACTTCAGCTGCCAATAGCCTAAATAATACTTTTTTTAGTGACTACATTCAAAATCATTCATACACCACTAAACCCACTTCTGCTACTGCCAACTATGTTGCTACCACTGCTGTACCTGCTAAAGACGTTGGAGGTGTTTCTCTCACTGATGTGGCTGCTGCTGCTTCTAGACACATATCAGAACTAATCAACAGCACCACTCCTGGGCACAGTGAGGAGCTAATAGGCTTCACTAATGAGCACAGTAGTGTTGCAGAGCTGAGCACTTGGGAGACAGAGATGGGTATCTCCGGTCTCTCTGGAGAGGCTAGTGACCCAGCATCACCTTCTGAAGGCTCAGAAAGCTTGGGCTCACATTCCCAGACTGAGGTGGCATCAATCATAGAGCGAGGTGATACAGCAACACCCGATACTCACAGTGACGTTCAAGACCAGGACACCTCGTATAGCGAGATCTCAGAACCAGACAACACTTTTCTTCAAATATCTAATACCAGAAGTGCCACCTCGGACTGATCCTCGGTCATTTGCTAGTGTTTTATTTTTATTCTGAGGAACAGCTTCAATTAGCTTTGTAAAGATTTCATTCCATAAATGTTTTGTAACAATGTTAAATTATCAAAGGAATTTCTTATGATTCTCTGTCTTGCTGGTTGTCTTTTATTGTGAAATATTGTTATTATGTGTGCCAAGTGTGAGTCTTCAGCACTTTGGATGCATGTACTTGTGTTTGCTAACTATTTATGTTTTGTCTCCTTTTATTGAATAGGACTTATTTATTTATAATCTGATTATGCATATGTGTAACAGACCACTTAACATAGATTTCTTAACATGTGAAGTTGACAAGTATTTCAAGTAGTAGTATTAAAGTAAAAGTATCCACTATATATTTTTTAAATATAGAAACATTTTTACATTTACAAGGTAAAAAAAAAATTGATGTTAAAGGCACTTTATTTGTACATTACTTGAATTTAGGCCAATAAGGTGATTTATGATATATATGATTGTTACATGTTGTTAATTATATTCTCGTGTCTTATCTTTTAAAATTTGTAACTTTTGGCAACCAAAAATGTATTTGATCATGCATACACACACACTACAAAGTAGTAACGGCAATCAATAAAATTGATAGGGAAGAATTCCTGCGACCCGGACTTTCAAGAACAAGAGGTTATATATTTAAACTAACTAAATAAAGCTGCTGAAGAAATGTTAGAAAATTCACTTTCGCAGAGCAGTAGATGGTTGGAACACGTTAAGTGTTCCAGTGTATGTGTGTGTGTGTTAAGTGTGACAGTTTTGGTGGTGGAGGCCAAAACCGTCGGTAATTTCAAAGCGTTATATGACAGAGTACTGGGATGACGGGACACCACGAGCATAGCTCTCATCCTGTAACTACACTTGGATGTAACTACACACACACACACACACACTATATAGACTTGTACAATTGCAGCAGTCGAGATACCTGGATGGTACAACATTATAATTCTCAATGTCTCAGAGACCCAGACTGGAGTGAAATAAATAGTACAAATGAAAGAAAACCAGATAGAAGCAAAACCCAAGGAAACTGATAGTAAGTTTAGCATAAATAAGACAACAGGAAGCTCAATAGAGGGGTATTTATCTTTACTGTATATACAAATACTAAAATCCTTACATGAAATCTGTTGGAAGACTTAGCCAAAATTTTAAAGTATTGTGACTCTAGTGTGTATAAATTTATATATATAGGGTCAATATAAATTCATATATATAGGGTCTCATATAGGGTATGAGACCCAGGGCCAGCATAGCCCAATAAGGGTTCCCCCCCCCCCCCCATTCCCCCATCCCCCTCCATTGCTTTGCCTGCAACATATTAAAACTTGGTAAGTTCTTCAGGTGAAATAAGACATTAAAAATTCTGGTTTTCTTCAAGGCCAACCCCTCCCCCCCTTCCCCACACCTGAAAACAGTTCATATTAAATATGACCTATTTATTATTTTTCTTTAATGCTATGTAGCAGCAATCTATATAAACCAATTACTTATAACTAGGGCAACAGAAAAAACTATTTTCATCACTGTTTAATGCAATTTTTAATAAAACTGTCAAGAAAAAATGCAAATCCAAAAATGTATTGAAAATGATTTTTAATCCCCTTCCAAAAGAGTATTAAAAAAAGATCTGATATTATCTCTACTGAAATTGTGATCTTAATCATAATCAGGAATCCCTGGTTAGACTGCTGGGTGGAACAGAAATGACTGGGTATATTTCTTTTCACCTAATACCTCTGTTCACCTAGCGGTAAATAGGTAAACAGGAATTAGTCAACTGTTTTGGAGATGCATCCTGAGGAAGATCAGTAGTTTGACTTGGAGATGGGGGGAAGGGGGGAGACATTGATATCAGGCTTACATATAATTTTAATATAATTCATTGTGTCGGGGGGACAGGAAGCATATTCATACACGTTAGGCTTTTATCGTGGTCCTCTTCCCTCCCCCCAGCCTGTGTATGTGTACACACAAGCTGTGTATATACATACACATGTGTATACATACATACCTATGTATACATGTGATATATATACAGACCCATGTATACATGTGATATATATATATATACATATGTATATATGTGATATATACATACACATGTGTATTCATGTGATATATAAATACACAGGCTGCCTATTCCCTGACAAAATGAAAAAGAAGACCTGGAAAAGATAAGTAGATGGAGCTTGACATGACAGATGGAATTCAATGTGAATAAATGCCACATTATGGAATGTGGAATAGGAGAAAGTAGGGCCCCCACTCAACCTACAAATACTGTATGAGCTCGCTTGTCCAGAGCCTGCAGATCCAAATATTTGAGTTTCCTGACAAAAATTGCGGCCAGATTTTTCTGGCAAAGCTTTCTGCAAACTTCACCATATGTAGACAGAAATCTAGAAAACCGGAGATGTTGCTGGATACTGGAGAAAGGGATCAAGCCATATCATATTAATCCCTTACTGCAGTGGCTTGAGATGTGGGATATGGGAGGTGTTGGGGTGGGTGGTTTCAGGGTAGACTGTTCAACATGCTTCCACTACACATAAGGGGCATAACTGGCCAACCCCTCACAGTGTTCAAGAGAGAACTTGATAAACTTTAGAGGTTACCTGATTAACCAGGCTGTGATTCATTGAAGATACAGTAATGTATACTGTACACTACTGTATGCAACATCAGTCAAGAAGACAAACTACAACAAGGAAAGCTGAATGTTCTGTTTTTAAATTATTGTACTGGTATATTTTAAATTATAGTGTGTGTGTAAATTCAAATTATGTTGGTTGTGGTACAAAAAATTGCGAATACATTCACTTTTGGAGTTTTCTGGTAAGAATTCTGCTTATCCAAATGTCTGGCTTATCTGGGGGAGGGTCCTTCCCACATAGTGCGGATAAACGAGCTCACACACTGTTTTGAAAAGATACTAAAGAACTTGGACAAAGAAATCAAGGGGTGATTCTGGATAGTAAACTCACCAGAAAAACTCTCAAAGGGCTTTATGTGAGGAGCTATGCTATGCTTTCTAACTTCAGAATTGCTTTTAAGTACGTGGATGGAGAAATATTGGAGAAATTGTTAACAACTTTTGTGAAACCAAAATTGAAATATGCAGCAGTTATATACCTGTAGTCCACTTCCCTCAAAAAGCACATCAGTAAACTGGAAAAGGATGCAAAAACATGCTACTGAATTGCTTTTGGAGCTGAAAAAATAAGAGCTACAAAGAGAAGCTAGAAGAATTAAATATGCCAAAGCTAGAAGATAGAAAAAGAAGCTATATGATCACCACGTCCAAAATAGTATCAGGAATCAACAAAATATACAAGCAGGAATTTTTAAGCCTTCATCTTCAAGAACAAGAGGCCAACAGCTCAAACTATAGAAACAAAAGTGTAATAAAAGCATTTGAAAGTGCTCTTTTATGAAGTCGTAAATGGTTGGAACAAGTTAAATGAAAAGGCTGTGGATGCCAAAACTAGCAGTAGTTTCAAAGCAGCATACTGTACTTAAGTAATTACATACTTGGGTAGTTACACACATTCACATAAAACATCAAATTTATTTATTTATTTATTTATTTATAAAGTTTTATGTACTTTATATTAGAAGACATAATTAGATGCAGGCTGTAAAAAAGTAAGGCTTTATTGTGCCAAGGAATATAGCCTGCCTGTATAAATATTGTTTTGCCTCTTATACTCATTTTCTGTGGGGAGCCCCTCAGGCTCCAAGGAGTCTCTGGGTCTCTCCCAGAAAATGGCTTTTCATTACATTCAACACCGGGTTTTTTTCTATTTTGGCAGTGCAGGTATGTATTGTTTATCATGTTTGAAACTTATAAACATCTTCATTTGTAAATCTAAGGATATGTCTCAGTGTAACATAGACTAAATACTGTAGTGACAAATATTTGGTACATAGTGTGCAAGCAGTAGATGAACAGCTGCAGGGTGTTAAACATTTCTATTTTTTTTTTTTTACAGGTGTCGTTGATGAGTATGTGGCTCTTAACCCACTGCTTAGATATTATTGAATATTAAGTTAATAGGACTGCTCAGTATTATAAATAATGTATAGGTATTACGTATTTCATAAGCAGTTTGAGAGTTCTTGAGCTCAAGTTCAGGTTTCAATTTTTATTTCAGTATTTTTTTTACTTTATTCATTTGATTATTATTAGTCATGTTAGATTTATTTTACTTTATATATTTCTAATCCTTTGTTGATTACATTTGTTTAGAAAATATCTCTTGGTATTATTGTATCTATACACTATTACATTATTTAATACTGGATAAAGTACCAGTCACAGTTTGACAGAATTGGTCAAAGATATAAATAATTGGTTTTAATGACATCACCACTCTACACATGGCATTATTTTGTCCTTTTTATTATAAAATATACAAGAAGGAACGAGTGTTCCTATTAATAACATGAGGAAACATACACTGACATATTTATCATCATCTAGTGTAGTGATGATGGAATGATGATGGTGTGTGAGTCCCAAGTACCATAAATGCACAGAGAACAGCTGTAGAGAGCTAAGTGTAGCAACTTTTGAAAAAAAGAGAGAGAAATTCTGAGAAAATAAAATAAGTGTTAGAGAATGAAAGAAGACAAAGCTGAAACAACAACAAAAATAATAACATCAACATCATTATCATTATTGGAGTCCACCATCATAACAAGACCTCAGATAATACACAGTTGGAAGGTTAATAAGACTGGAAGACATGCTAAAAGCTCACCAGGGAAAAAAAAATAATAGAGAAGGAAAGTGAAGTCTTGAAAAGAAAATTAGTATCTTGGAAGAAAGTTTTTTCGAAAGTGATAAGACAGTCGCCAACCTGTTGAGCGACTGTGATATAGGAGGGACAAAGTGGGTAAATATTTAAGGAAAATGAGACGTGGAAATTGAATGGGGAAGAATTCGAAGACGTAAAAAAAGTTACCGCAATATAAACAAGAATTCAGAGCAAATCTCTAAACTAACCAAAGTGATGAGTTAGGCAAGGGTTTGCTGCAGGATTTGTGGGCAGCCCAAATGGCCGTGGTTACTAATGTGTTAGAGAAGTGCAAGGAAGAAGTAATTATAATTCTAAAAGCATTCTGAAATAAAAGATACACATAAGTAGTCAGAGGAAAAAGAAACAATCAAGAAAATAGCATCTATGATGGTCAGAGCCACAGAAGAAGTTAAAGTCATTGATAAAATAGTAGGTTTAAGAGAAGGCTTCACAACAATGGAGAATGTTTCTTATTATAGTAGGATAAATAAATAGGAAAAAGGTAAGAAGTGTCCCTTAAGGGTGACGCTAAATGGTGTGAAACAAATGACAGAAGTACTTGTGCCAGGAAATTGCAAAATGATGAGGATGTGAAACTGTGGTCATTAAGGAGAGATCTCTAAAAGAACGACAAAGGAAAGCTAAAATAGAACCTCAATGAAGCATATTGGCTAAATGAGAGCAGGAATGAGAAAGAAAAGAAATAGAAGGTGGAGGAGAATGGAGAAAAAATGTAGGTACCAGTAATAGCTTCCTAAAAATCTTGTATACAAATATTGATGGAGTAATGTAAAGGCACGATCTTCCAAGTCATCTAATGGAGTACGAACTATTGAAACCCATCC